TGACTGTATACTTCTCACAGGAGCGCCGGGGTGAGCACATGTAGCGGGGGACATGAAGACTCGGGGGACCTGCAGGACCGCAACAACAACAATAACAACAACAATAACAACAAGAACATCACCATGACCAGCGAGGATCTCCTGCAGCCCGGACACGTCGTGAAGGAGCGATGGAAAGTGGTGAGTACAGCAGGAGGGACCTCTGATGGCTCTGGTCTTACGTCTGGGGAGGCGGATCACTGGCTCTGGATTCTTGTTGTGTTTTTTACCTGATGTGGATTTAAGAACACCTTTAAATGACTAAATTTGACGTAAGATACATAGATGGTGTTCAGAGTGGCTTTTAAATGTCACTTAAACTATACTGCAAATAGTTATGTTCTCCCAACCTCATTTACGATAATTAGTAAGGAATATTAGGTAGTATGGGCCTTGGTATACAGACGGGAAGGGCCTCAGACAAGTTAATGTCCAGAATACCAGGAGTGAGAAGCAGCGTGACTTGTTACACTTGGCAGGTATCACCAACGTGTCTTCAGATGACACTGTCACGCATGCCATCGTATATACCCGCGGTGAAGGCTCTGTGCTGGCTGGCGTCGCGGTCGGTATTTCCGGGAGATATGGTTCAGCGTACCTTGAGCCCAGACTGGCACTTTAACTTAAAGACGTCAGCGCGGTAATTGCACAGGTTGCCAGGACGTATTTATAAAAGGATATGAAGGTGAAAGTCGTATTCATAATGTCAGAGTCGCGTATTACTAAAGGTGTCAGAGAGAGGTGGTGTTCATGTTGTCAGTGACCATTTCTACCTTAGGTGTCAGAGATGCGGTGTGGTCATGTTGCCATAGATTTTGTTGTAAGAATTTTAATAATAATCGTATTTAAGAGAATACTGCCAATTGGTAAGAATTATGAGAATAATCATTACAAAAAAGAATTCAAATAAAAACAACACTAATAATGAGAACGATATTAACAGTTACTTTACCATTATAATAATGATAATAATTTACTGTAATGATAATGATAATAAAAATAACAATAATGATAATACTTATAATAATAATATAAACAATACTGATAATAAACTTCATGTTTCCTCGGTAAAATTCACCATTACATACGACAAATTTATTTTTCTTAACTATACAGTATTGAGAGACCGGGGAAAAACATGGGGGAAATATCAGCATATTTACAGCTTCTAACAGGTTCACTATACCTGGCTGACTGATGTACTGATAGCTGCCTCAGGTCGTTGTCAGTTATTATTATTATTAGTAGTAGTAGCTGTAGTAGTAGTAGTAGTAGTAATAGTATTAGTAGTAGTAGTATTTATATTATTACGTATTTTTGTTGTTGTTATTATTATTATTATTGTTATTATTATTATTATTATTATTATTATTATTATTATTATTATTATCATCATCATCATCATCATCATTATTATTTATATTATTATTATTATTTATATTATTATTATTATTATTATTATTGTTATTTATATTATTATTATTATTATTATTATTACTATTATTATTTATATTATTATTATTATTATTATTATTATTATTATTATTATTATTATTATTATTATTATTAATATTATTTATATTATTATTAATTTCTTTATAATTAATGCTTCTATTGTTATTTTTCTACTGTTATTCTACCCGGATCAAAAACATACCCGCGAAACATTAGAGTAGTTTACTTAATTAAGTTAAAATATACTGAAATATAATATACAAACTCACTACAATATATATGAGTATACTTTTAATATTTTGAAACAACAGATTGTATTACCAACAAAGAAATAAATATCAACCTTTAAAATTTGTTCTTGTATTTACGTCATAGTGATAATGTCAATATATTTCGTATTTTATATAACACTCCAACTCATATTTACGTGTCAACAATATAAACTAAAAGTAAACAATTATCCTAACCTAACCTAATCTAACACAGTCTTTAAATGATTCTATACCTTTTGATAAATTATATACAGGTAAAAATAAAATAGCTATATATCACAGGAATTTAGTTACATCACTGTTTTGTGGAGGAGAATGAATGACTTTGGTTCAGGTACAACGAAATGTGAATGTATGAACACGTAGAGTTATGTTGACACTTCCTTAGCGTATAATAGACTCTCTTGAGATAACACAATACACCAAATGGTTTAACTATAACTAAAACATAAACATAATAGAGAATAAGATCAGATATTATACTTGAGACTCAGTAACTAAGCTCACTTTGCATCAGACGAAATGATTACACAGAAATTTCAGGTTGGGTGGGTGGGGGGGTGGGGGGTGGGGGTGGTGGGGGTGGAGGGGGGTGTTAAGTGAGCATATCTAGTAAAGGTTGAGTTTGTGTTATATGGAGTCTATATTTAGGACCAGGTCTTTGTGTTTTAGCTGAAGTCAAGCAGTTAGGTGGGTTTTGACATCTTTAGATACAAGAAATATACTATTATCTTATGAACCATTGAGAACATAATCTAATCGGACCTGACGTGGGCCACATGCTAACCTAACCTAACCTAACTTAACCTAATCTAATCTAATCCAAGCTAACCTAGCCACCACGATAATCAAGATTCCGATATGATACCATTAACAGCTTCGTTTATTGCATTTAGTTGCTTAAACCACCAGAGTTTTTAAGGACAGCCGAGCATAATTACTAAAGTAAGCACACCTTCCGTAAGTGGACTCAGGGGAATTATCAGTATTGACGTCAAATGTTGTAATGTACCGTAACCAATTTTCCCAAACAGTCTGTCCACACCATCGACCGATTACGTCAGCACTGCATCAACACTCAGTCGCTCGACACCAACCACCAACTGTCTGTCGAATATTACCCAGGAATGTGAATTTCTTTTGGATAACGAGACATAACATAACAATAAAGAATGTAAACAACGAAAATATAGCCATAAAGAATACACATAAATTATTAGATAAATAAATGGTGAGAGAAGTTTTTTTATTCCGAGACTTCTACTTACCTTCACCAGCCCAGCGAGTGAACCCCTCGAGGATGTGACTAACGCGTCTGGAACAAATTTCGATAATTTGTTCCTTAATTAAACATCAGTAAACTGTATAAATTTCTATATCATTTTAACACCAGAGGGACGAGTAGTGAAGAAGACCCCACGACTACAGGAACCATCTATTATCTCAGGGTTTTGCCGGGGAGGACTTGACCAGTTTTTAATTCGTCAGCGTCGCAGCTTCTTTCTCGCTCTGTTGTTTGTTTGTCCTCGCCCTTTGGGTCCATTACTACATAGATTTTGTTCTGTTTTATTTGATCATGAATGATGGACAATTTGACTGCTGGTCGCCTCGTTTTAAACAAGTCTGAGGAACTCACTGGAAGTATTACTAAACTTTTAATAAAAGGTCACATAACGTTTCTCAGTGAAGTAATTTAATGTAGATTAAGTTCGATGCCAACTGGTAGAGCAATTACCAGAGTAATGCTGATTGCTGGCTTGGATCGTGAGTTGTGAGGGAGGCGGATTATCTGCAATGTCACCGGCTAGTGCCAACCTGAGCCAGTAGATGGCAGCAGCAGACGGTCGATAGGGGCTTAGCCCTTTTTCGCTGTTAGTCACATTATATATCGACGACAATACGTTTTTGCGGATGAATTAAGCAGTGGCGAGCAACTCTTTCTTAACAACGGCAGCACTCGCTAGTGACGTCATGTGACCGACCCCTGCACTACCATTCACCTGATCGATGTCTCTTAATATAATAATACTGTAACTATAAATTACTCATGGTTTTGTCACTCTCTGGATGTGACTTATAATACATCAGAATGTTTTATTATCATTTCATATTAAAGTCTTAACTTGGTTTTATTTCCCAGGAGTTGTGAGACAAATAACAAGGACTAGATCGCTGTATCAGATTCACCTGTTTCTTTTATGATCGTAAATTATGACGAATTAAAACATAAACAGGTGTACAGTATAGCTAATGTGTGACGATCCTTATGAAGTGAGTGATCGAGAGCCTCAGACAAGTGGGAGGATGACTGCCAGGGAATAGGATGCACCTGAACACCTGGACCTACACGATAATAACCCGAAGGAACCTATAACACATCATCACAACTCCTTAACACAGTCACCAAGAACAGTGAACATATCATATGGTAAAAAAAAATTTCATTAGTAACAACTCGATGATTTAAACTTAGTACTTTTTTTAATGTCATCAAATTATATCTGAAAGCGTCTTGTTACAGCAGAGTCACAGTGCAGCTAGAACACCATTAAAGCTGTCATCATTAAGGCTGTCATCTATGTGTCATGCAATAAAGGAGACAGTTAGTTAGTTTACGTCCTCATGTCGACGGTTTTTGGGGGAAATTGAATCGACGACCTGTAGAAATTCTCGGTTTTGTTGACCTTCAGGACGCCAGGTAGCACGACACTGTACACCTCAAGGACACACTGACTTTATATTTATGTATATCCCCGAAAACACTTTTAAAAGTTTATTTCACTACCAAATTACCGAGAGTGTGGGTGTTTGCCAAGTTGTGGTCACTGGTGGTGGTCTTGTGGTGTAGTTCTTTATCTCCCCGTTGGGTTGAACATCTTACGCTGGGCTTTTCATACACCCACTGTACAGGGCTGCCAACTGATGCGCTCACCGTACAAAATAAACACATCCATGGTATAATAACAAGGGTATTCCTGGTTCTGCTGATTGCAAGCATCGAGTTATGTAAATATACTGGGGCAGAGGATGTGTCAGGTAGGTCGTGGATGGCCTGCAGGAGAGGCTTCCTGTTTACCCATCCACCAACAGCTGTTTACCCACCCACCTACAGCTTACCCACTCACCTACTGTTTACCTACTTACCCTCTCCCTGCCTCTCACTGTTCACCTGCTTACCTGGTTACAGTACGCGTTATAGAAGGCTCCTCCAACCTTCACTCGTCCACAACGGAAGATTCGTACCTCATTTATAACGCCGTCTCCCCTTGGCTGGGCACGAAGATGATTATTGGGAAGTAATAAGAATTGCATTCCGATCGAGAACTAATGATACTGTGGTTCAGGTTTTATTCAAGGCCAGAGTTCAGGTGTGCAGGTAGATCCATTAATTCGTCAGCGATGTGGCAGTAATTT